AGCTGAGGAAGGTGGCCATCGGGCAGGGCGACTTCCAGCTGGTGGACCACACCGGGTGCCCCTGCTCCAAGGGGGACCTCAGGGGCAGCTGGGTCCTCCTCTACTTTGGGTTCACCCACTGCCCCGACATCTGTCCGGAGGAGCTGGAGAAGATGAGCCGGGTGGTGGACCTGCTGGACCGAGACCCCCGGCTGCCCCGCCTCCAGCCGGTCTTCATCAGGGTGGCCCCCGAGGGGGACACGGTGGCGGCCGTGGCCAAGTACGTGAAGGAATTCCACCCGCGGCTCCGGGGGCTGACCGGCACCCCCGAACAAGTGCGAGAGGCTGGCCGGGCCTACCGCGTCTACTACAGCACCGGCCCCAAGGACCAGGACGACGACTACCTGGTGGATCACACGGTCATCCTGTACCTGCTCAGCCCCGACGGGCTCTTCATGGACTATTACAACCGGTACAAGACGGACACCAAGATCGCTCAGAGCATCAAGGGACACATGACAACCTACAGGAGCCCCTTCGGCTGAGCCAGGACTGGCGGGGGCCAGATGCCCGGAGGCCACACGGCTAGTTTTGGATGCCCGGCTGAACGGGCCCACCCTTGTGAGAAGGCAGGCTGTGGAGCGTGGGAGTGTGTGCGTGCGTGCACGTGTGTACCATTTTGGAGTGACGATTTCTACAGGGATTGTCAAGGGAAAAATGATCATGCTCTGAAATGGTATTTCATGCTGCACACGCATTTGACTCTTGCTTCCTTTTTTATTTGCACTCAGGCGGTGTTTGTACAACACGCTTAATGCAGATCAGTTCCAAACTGAGTGGTTGCATTCTTCCAACGTCTTAACTCGGTTATTATTATTTTGGCTTAGCGTGACCCCAACTTTTTAGTAGCTGTATTGTTTTATAGCAGGAGCCTCCAGCAAAGCCATTACAGTAACCCGTTTTCAGATCGAGCTACACATTAGGTTTTGGAAGCGAGAAGCTTTGGGGTCCAGGTGCCTTTGCAGTGAGGTGCCTCAACGGGGCAAGGATCCGGGTATGGGTTTCCAGGTGTGGGCTTCATTTACGTGCAAGTGAGAACCATATTTGGCACTGCACTGCTGTCACTTTCTGCTTTGGGAAAGGCCACCATGTAAACGATCTGTCCTTGGAGGGAAACCTGGTCACCCTTCCTATTTTCCACTTACCACTGCAGAACCCTCCCACCCCCCAAGTTGGAACGGCATCCTGAGACTGTTTGCCCCAAGGGTCTGGGAGGGAAGTCTGGCCTTTGCTTCCTCTGCCCGCTAAGTTACATGGGGGGCCTCCCCACCTCTAAAGCAAGAGGCTTTCCGGATGCAGGACGTGAAAGCCTTCCTCTTGCAGGCCACAACTCGGGGGCAGCCATGGGGCATGGAGGCACACTTGGGGCCACACCTTGCCTACGTCCTCTTTCTGGAGCAGGCAGCACGGAAGGGGAGGGGTCCTGTGCATCTGCCATTCAAGGAGGAAAGCGAATCGCATCTCCAGGAGGCCCCCTTTATTGTGGGAAAGCAGAGACAGAAGCCTTAGCAAGGACCCCACTGGGGAGGGAGCAGGGGGTGGGCTGAAAGGGTGGGGGAAGCTATACAGATACCACACATTTACATATATGCAGATATAATATATACAGACACAGACACAGCCCGGAGCAGAGGAGAGCCATCACTGCTGGCTGAGCGAGGGAGCCGTGTACGTGTGAAAGCGCCGATGGGCCCTTTCCTGGGTCAAGAGGCGCAGCCCCATGGTGTCGACTGCCTCCTCCAGGCCTGGCTGTTGGGAGATTTCCACAGCGTAGTCATTTGCCTGGAGGAACACAAACGTTTCAGGGCTGAAAGAATCCAATTTGGCAAAGAAACGGGCGGGGAAGGTCCTAGAATCCTAGACTTAGAACAGTTGCTCAGGGAGGGTCCCCTAGAGCAGCGTTTCTCGGTCTTGGCAGCTTTTTATGGACTTTAAGTGCCAGAACTCCTCAGCCTGCCAACTGCCCACGTTGAGAGATGCTGCCCTGGTGCATCTCCAACGGATGATCATCCAGCCCACGAAGACTTGCCATGCAGGATGGCTCTCCGCTTCGTTCTGTACAGTCAGGATGTTTCTAATCCTGCTGGTTTAGTTTTAACCCACTGGTTCTGGTCCTGCCCTGTGGGGCAACAGCCAGGCTCCTTGGCCTCCGAGCCCCTCCAACTTTGCAGGCGCCTCACCAGCTGCAGGGAGGCCAGCATGCAACGGCAGACCTCGAAGGCCGGCTGCTCTGCCACCAGGCTGGCAAACGAATGCCATTCACCCACACGGCCGAACCGGGACACCAGCTGGTCTCCGTAGTCGTGGATGTCAAAGGCAGCACGGGCTTCCTGTGCAGACAGAGGCGTGGTCAGACCCTGGACCCCGTGCATCGCCTGCCCCTGCGTGAGTTCTCCATCCCTGACCTCACCTGGTCCTCAAGCTGTGGGCCGATCATCTCCTCCCAGTCGCGGACACGCCGGGACAGCACCGTCTCTCGGGCGTACTTCTGGGAGTGCGCCATGAACAGCTCCTGAAATCAGCAAGAAGGAAGAGCATCTCTTGCAGCGGAGGAGAGGACCAGCAGCTCGGCTTAGATGCCCCCCTCTCTCGGCCCCAGCTCAGCCGCTGCGGGAGGGGAGCCCTGTTAGCCTATGGTAGGTGTCTGGCAGCCCCCTAACAAACTTTATTTAAAAGCATCAGCTTTCGTGAGCTGCAGCTCGCTTCATCAGAGGCAAATTTCCTTGAAAGGCATCGGCTGGTGGGAGCTACCAAGCCACCAAGGGGAAGAATAGGGGAAGAATGGCTTTGGAGTTGGGTGGCCTTAGCAAATCCAATTAAAATTAACAACAGTCATCCAAATGGCTTCTCAGTGGGATACGTACCACGTTCTTCCTCACCAGCTCCTCGTAGCTAAGGGAAGAGGGGATTTCACCGGGGTCTGAAATGAAATTGAGAAGTTGAGAGCTCCCCCCAAGCCTCTTACAGCGGCCGTGCCTCGTATTTCTTTCCCCACCTCCAATGATGGCTGGCTGGCTGGCTGGAGCTGAAGTGGGAAACGCGTAGCAAAAACAGCCAGTGCGCCCTCCCCTGCCTGTTAGCGAGCCGCCACCTTTGTGTCTGCGGCTCCGTCAGTTCAGCCTTTTTTCCGGCACTCTCCCTTTTCACGTTCGCTGATGAAGAGAGCTGGCAAACCTTGTGCCGCCAGCCTCACTCCTCAGCACGGTCAGGAGGCCAGTGCTGCAGAAAAACATCCCTGCCGTACAGGAGGGGGCCAGTTCGCCCGGCCGTTACCTGCCACGCCGCCTGGGGCTTCCAACGGGGGAATGTTGTCGTGTTCCAGGAAGTCCTCTGTGGAAGGAGAAGATGCTCCAGCAAAACCAGGCACAAGAAAAGGACGTTCTTTGGCAGCGTCACTAAAGAAGGGAAAGGCGCCCGCTAGGAGGGCTCTGGGTCTTCCGTAAGCTCTACGCACGGCTTCCCCGCTTGCCGAGGCCGCAGGTGACAACCGGTCGCTAAACTGCCTCTATGTATTTCAGGGAAAATAAACTTTACTACCTTTGCTGGGGCTTTAGTTCTCTCTTGCCCAGAAGGCCTTTAATCAAGCCGAAATGCACAGGCCCTGCTGCTAAACAGAGACCACCTTTTTTTAAAAAAATCTTTGATGGGATGCTGCCCAACCTCCTCTGAAGTTTACGGGGCGAGTCTTAATCCTGCTCCAGCTGTCACAACCCAAATGAACGGGAGTTGAGGGAGCGAGGGAAGAAGGTCCCAGCTCTCGGAGCAGGTGGGGAGGTTGGAAGGGACGGATGCGGGTGGGGGGCTTTCCCCCTGCCTGGAGAGAGGGCCATCCTCTGGCCCAGCGCCCAGGCAGCGCAGAAGAGATACCTGGCCCGTCGTCAGCCGCCTCGCCCAGGTTGTCCTCCTCCCGTTCCACCTCCAGAGCATCCAGCTCCTCGAACCGTGTCTCCAGCAGCGGACCCTGGTTTGGGGGGGGTAAGAAGTGGGTTGCTCTTCCTTCTGTCTTAGGTCTGCCATTCCTGCATTTATGTATGAGGTTTCCAGGTCATGGCCAAGCAGAAAAGAACCCGCTGCTTCTCAGCCTTGGAAGCCGCCTGCTGTACTTAAACAGACGCCTGTTTCAGCATCACGTCACTCGAGAGGCCGCTTTTTCAGGCTCGGACAGACAGGAAGAGCCCCTCGCTGCCCGCAGGAGACCAGGAGTCTGAGCTGGAGAGGCTGGAGGAAGCCTCCCCTTCTCCAGGACGTCGCCTCTGCAGCGTCCTGCTTCCTCCCAGCTGCACCACCCGCCCCTTTTGTGGGCGAATCAAGCAAGCCAACCCGTGTTTCAACGATCCGCTCTGCCTCTTCAGTCCCCGTTCTCTTCTGCAGCTTCCTCTGGGCCGCCAGACGCTCCTTCACGTGTTTCCAGTACAGAACTTCAAGATCTGCTCCGAAATGAAAGAAACTGTGCTGGGGGCCCAAGGACCAGGCCTGTCCCTGGCCCCAAGGACCTCTGCCTGCCCCCCACCTGTCACCTTGCTGCTGCTTCTCGGCCCTTCCTACTGCTTCCCCAGCCCCAAAGGAAGTCAGCCCGCCGGCCGGGGTCCTCTCTCCCAACGAGTCACGCCCACTCACCGGCAAATGTGGGGCCTTTCCTCCTGCTTCTGTGGCTGCCAGCTCGGTCAGGCTCTGCAAAGCAAGTGAAGCAGGCCGTCTGCTGAGCCAGGGGGCGGGGGGGCACAAGAGGCTCCTTGGGCAGAGCAGCCCTTCGGTCTGTTCCCCTCCACCCCGTGGCACAGAAAGGACGTTCGGGCCCCAAGGCCAAAAGCAGAAGCAATGCAGAAAGAGAGGGAGGGGTGGTAGGGAGGGGTTCGGTCCCCAGAAGCAGCCATCTCTGGCTTACGGGAGGGAATGAAGCCCTGGCTTCTGGCTCCACCAGAACAGCCACTGTCTGGCAGGTTGGGAGAACCCGTTAATGGTGAGCCATGATACGGTTCCTTTGTTGGGGCATCACGTGTTATGTGGACACAGCAAGGGTGTTTTTAATCCTGGGTAGGGGGAAGAGGGCGGTGTGAACACAGCTGCAGTGGGCTTGAACCAGGAGCCTCCTGGACACAGCGAGGGAAGGGTGACCTCCACGGTCACCTCCAAGCCAAGCCAAATCAACCCAAAGCCAGGGAGCTCACCGGTGGATGAAAACCACGATGCAAATTCCTGCAACTTGCTGGACAGCCGCCTCTTCCGCTTGGTGCCGGGCAAATCATCCAGGCCGCGGGGCACTGCGAAGGGTCTGCCTGAAGCCAGGGAGGGAGGAGTGTGGGTGGAACTAAGGAGGCTGCAAGGACCCCCTTCTGATCCTGACCACGCGGCCGGTTCTCAAGAAGATTGCAAAAAGGCGCAGGCAGGGTTGGAAGTCTCCCCCCATTCCCTTACAATCCAACCTGCCCCGATATGTTGGACTACAGCTCCCATAACTTCCACCCAGCACGGGAGTTACGATCCACGCCAGGCTGTCCACAGAGCACGGTCCAAAAGTAAAGATGGCAGCCGTGACCGCGCAGCTGAAGCTCCGCTTGCTTTTCATGTGCGTGGCCCTCTTGACTTTTGGACCGCGCCCTGCGGACACCCTGGTCTGCACGCAGAGGCTTCCGGGCTGAAGGTGGCTGGTCCAGGCCCGCCGATCTGCCTGGGGCCCCCGCACCTTTCTTCAAGGGCTTGTCCTCTGAGGAGCTGAAGGGGTCGAGGCTGCGCCAGGGGTCCGCTGCTTCCTGGAAGGGAAGGAGAAGCAGCCGGTGGGCCTCTTCATGTCCGGAGACAGAGGCCAGCTGCGAGGGCCGCTGGGGGTGCAGGGCTGGCCTCGCCACCACGTGCTTGGCGGACCCAAAGGAGCCTGGGCCGGATCAGCCAAAGATGTGGCTCGGCCTGGCCCGTTCCCATCTCTGGGAGCTCCTCTAGAGCAGAGGGGAGCTGCTGTCCCTCAGGAGTCTCTCGCATCTGGGCTCCACTCTGATGCCAAAGGAGCACCTAAAGCTTCATGGCTAACAGCTGCTGGGAGACACCTCCTCCCTGAAGTTGTTTAACCTTTGGTTACCACCGCCAGCTAATGGCCACCACCACAGCTTGTGGCGGAGAGTTCCAAACGAGACGAGGGCCGTGACTGGAGATTCCTAACGCACAGTAACATCTGGATACTACTGACGGAAGTCAACATGCTTGGCTGGCGCTGGGCTCCGGTTTCTTCTGACATACACGGAACACGTACAAGATGCTCTTCAACCCCGCTAAAAATAACACAAGGGTCCTGAAGGGCCACTGGCCAGGTGTGGCTGCTGTACGGGATGCTCCTTACCTTGAGGTGGGCATTTGCATCCAGGGCAGGGGGTCTCTCCCGCAACATGTATCCTTTCCTCCGGGGGGCGCTCTAGGAGACAGAGGAGGTGGTTGCCAGATACCCGGCTCATACCAAGGAAGCCCTTGCAGGGCCCTCAGCCCCTCCACCGTGGGCCACCCTCCCGCCCGCCTGTACCATCTGATGCGCGACGTGTTCCTCCGCCCCAGCATGGGAGACCTCCGGACCCTCCTCCGGGACGTCTGCCAGGAAGTCGTCACAGCCCTCCCCATTGTCGCCCGTGGGGTTTGCTGCTCCTGCTGAGGGGGCACCAGGGAGGAAAGAGGGAATTAAGGGTTCAGCCCTGCACAGCTCAGGGCGACTACCTGCGGCTGCCTGCTTCCCCCTGTAATGGGAAGAAGGAGTGGCCTTGAGGGACAGGAGGAAGAGCCACAACCAAGACAATGGACGGATAAAAGAAACCTGAGTCCGGGCCAGAACTGTAACCAGAATAAGCGTCTCAGATAAGATCAGACAAGATCTCCCCTGCGCGGGTGGGTTGGGGGAATCGGAAACGGGTAAAAGAGAACCGTTGCAGGGGCTTTGGAGGTCATCCGGCCAAGCCCCTGCCAGGGTCACAGGGCCTGCGCTCTGGAAGGCCCTGCCCCTGCAGTTCCTCCGGTTTGCATCCCGGCCCTCTTGCAATCAGCCCTCCAAGCTGGCTGGTCCCCAGGCCCAGGCCTGGAGGGGTGTCATGGTCTCGTTCATAAATCATGGCTGGGGTTTTCTGGAGTTGTGATCACTTTTTGGTGTGTTTTCCCTGTATTTTTCTTGTAAGCCACCCAGACTGTACCTGACTGAGGCAACCTGCGTTTCAGGAATGAATGAAGAAACAAATAAACAAACACACACACACCCCATTCAGACTTGCAAGATTTTGTTCCTAAAACTTTATAACAAAAGTAGTAGTAGCTTGCGTGTCTTTGGCTTCCGAGTTTGGTCTCCCTTGGAGGGCTGACATTACTCTTGCAAGTCTCAGTGCGCTTCCCCCCGCTCACTTTCCTATCTACCAACCCACCAGGTCTCTGACTCACTTCCTTCTCCAGAGAAGTCCAGAGCAAGAACAGGGGTCTCGCACATACTGACATCCACGGGCGTGGAGCCAGCCGCTGGAGCAAGGCTCTGAACTCCTGCACAGAAGCAAAAAGAGTGTGAGTGCACATTCCGCAACCTCCGCTTCTCCACTTCCAATTCACCACAGTGATACATGGCACCCCGTGAAGAGGGAAGGCCCCAGAGGACCTCCTGAGTCCATGGCAGAAGCTCCTTACGGAACCCGTCTAGAATTGCTGGGCGTTGAACAAACACCTCCATCCTGCCAAGCTGTAAAAGGCACACTACTGGAGGGAACAAATTCAAAGAAGTGTCATTTGCCACCTCCATCAGTCCAATTTTCTTTATGTGTTACAAGTCTTTTGCAACTGCTTTATAAGCGTGGGACCTTCCCAAGCTCTCTGGGAAACAAAATGGAGAGCTAGAAGGAGCTGCGTCTGCTGCTTCTCTTAAATTTCTATCTGGTTCCTCACTAAATGTGACCCCACTTGGGAAGAACAGTTCTGAATCCAGCGGTACCCATGGGATTGCCGCGGCCCCAGTCGCAGTTCCTCCCAGCCTGACACTGCATCGGTGACCGTCCTGCCAGTTCCAGCATGAATAAGCCATTGCTGTGCGGGGTGCAGGTGTTCATGCGGAAATCCTTCCGGCTGGCCAAGATCTCTCCCTTTTGGCTGCAAGGAGACATGCTGAGATCAGCTGGAGAAACACAGGAAATGCCTCTCTTCCGACCCCAGTGCTGGAGAACTAGGGGGCCCAAGAAGACCCACCGATAGCCTCTTACCTAAAGAGGGGGTTGTCCTTCTTTTCAGCCTCCTCGGGTGGAACCAGGGCCATTGGCGTCAAGGGGACGATATTGACTGTCTGGAAAAACAAACAGGGAAATCTTCCAGAGCTGGAGAAAGGAAGTAGGGCGTGGCAGGGGTGGGGTGGGGTGGGCAGGGAAGGCAAGGAGTTCAGGAAGAGTCGTCTGTTATCCCAGCCCTGACCTGGGGGCAAGACAGGTAGTGGATAACTACAGCCCACCAGCCCCACTGCCTGTTTACTAAGCTGACAGCACCAAAGGTCCCTCAAAAGTGCAGGTTTCCTGAAGAAACACCATTTGCATGTTTCTTGGCGAAAGCTTCTTGCCAGCCATGAAGGACCCAGAAATACTATTATTTTATGGGTCTCACAGCTACCCTTTGACAATCCTAATGTGAACAAGCAAGTTATTTCTTGAGAAGTGTTTGAGGCTGACTTAAAACAGAAATATTGGAGTGTGTAAAGAGTGTGTCTCTTCATCCTTTTTTCTTAAATTAAAGTATGAACTGGAATTTTTCCAAACCATCATTTGCCGCAGAAAGCTTAGATATGCTTAGCTGCTACGCTGCCATGCACAGACACTGAACTCCCTGTGGTTAAATCAACACCCGCCAATCTTGTACAAAAAAGGCTTTTTTTGCACAAATCCCATCTCCAGCATCTTAAAAAAAAAGTATCCTGCTACCTCAGCCTTGGCACAGGGATGGGTGAAAGCAAGTAATACCGCCAAATTATTTATTTATTGCGAGCTGTGTGTGGCTTACAGAAGCCTATTTAAGGACCTCAAGCGGAAGCAGTAATAAAAGCATTCCTAAAAACAAGGACTATAAAACCTTTTAAATGCTAAATCAACAAATATTTAACACTGAAACCTTAAAAGACCTAGGAGAATATGTCTTAGCTGCCTCCTAAACTGTCAGGTGCAACGGGTGGGCTTTAACTGGTGTGGCCATCTGTGGCTTGGAGAGGCAGGAAAACGAACTGCGGGTGGACCATGACAACTGTTCCCCAGTGACTAAAACTGCAATATGTGGGGCGGGGGTGGTGGTCCTGCAGTCCTGGGAGCAGACAGAGCTGAAGCTGTCCAAGGCTTTATATACGTCCCGGTCCGTTCAGAGGCTAACAAGGAGAGTAGCGAAATCACTAACATTGTGCTGTTGGTCGTCCCGCAAGTCCATGTTTGCTCTGCTGGTGTCCTGGATGTCATCCAAAGAGAGGAACTGTGCAGAGAAACAGACGCTCCGTCACAAAGAAACCAAAACAGCCACCTGGGCCAGAAAGTGCCTCTGCCCCACCTGGCCAGGTGGAATGAAAGGTGACCGAAGTACGAGCAGGATGTGGGAAATGGCCAGGCTCCCTGCTTGCCATTCGCTTACAACTGACACACAGGTAGTCCTCATTTAGCAACTGCCTCGAACAGCGACTGAGCATTTGAATATAGGGCAGTAATAAATAAAAAATTCATTTTCCACCAACCTGGGCATTTAGGACAACAAAAGCCTTCAGTGTGAAACTGACTAAGGTCTGGTCAGTTTCAGGCAGCAGTTGGCCCAGAGGTTCTAATCAACTAATTAAGGTCACAGAGGAGCTTGTTAACTTGCTATTAGCACTTTTTAGGGAGGTGCTGTTCTGCCCAGAAAAGCAGCTCAGGAAAAGATAGCTTGTTTAAGCAATCTCCCCACCCTGCAAGGAAACGAAAAAAGAAAAGAAAAAAAAAAACCAGGTCAGGCACAGGACACTGCAGGAGAACTTTCTCTGAATGAGTGGGCAGCAACCAGCAATCTGTGAGACTCTCTCTCTGTCACACAGTTCACTTAGTGACCATTTCACGGAACCAACTGCAGTCACTAAACAAGGACTACCTGTATTCCTCATCCTTTGGACTCAGGCTATACCACAGTTATAAAACCAGAAATCAGACATATCTGCATAACATATAGAGAGATAATTAGGCCATCGCTGTTCTTTGTACCTGCTCCAGTTTATCCAAATCTTTCTAAGAGCATTGTGACTCCACAGCTCCAGAACGGGAAAAGGCATTTGCAAAGTCTTCTTCTGGCTACTGCTCCATTTATGCATTACCTTTCAAAAAATAGTCTACAGCTTCCTGCCTCCTTTCTGGAAAAGACCAATCCGAATCTTGCTTTGGTATTTCCCAGACCATACCCACTTCTTGTCAGTTCCTATCATGGCCTGTTCAGTCAAGAGCACAGGTTGGCCTACTGAAAGGAAGAAATCAAGCATGCTTCTGCATTATGTTCACCCCGGATCTCACCTCCTCTTCTTCTGCTCCTGGTCCAGCACTGACATCTCCATCAGCACCATCCACACCGACTGATGCAGGCTGTTTCTCACGCCTAATTTGGAGCAGCGTTACGACAAAGAGACCCAGAAGGGAAACAAGCACGGTTTATTCCCCAAAAATATTTTCAATCATGTAATATCTTTAGCAGTTCTAAGGCAATGCTCTCCCATGGGAAGAAACTAAAATAAGATATTTTCCCAGATTGGCCTCAAAAGAGATGAAGAGCTATTTGAGCAGTAAGTAACAGTGGCAGGCCAGGGACTCGCTCAGGAGAATGGGAAAGAGCCTCAAGAGGAAGACACTGATTTCCTTCCTTCCTATCCAAAAAGGGGTTTACTCACTTCTTATTGGAGATAAAATCAAGTGCCTGGTACACCAGCGAGTAAAGATATTCCACCTGAGAAAACAAATACAATAGATTAGAGCAGTGTTTCTCAGCCTTGGCCCCTTGAAGATGTGTGGACTTGGACTCCCAGAATTCCCCAGCCAG